TTTTTTTTTTTTCTGGGGCCTCGCCGCACCATTGTCCAAACGAAAAACGTTCAAATGCATGTTCCACGGAAAGTGGCAAGATGCATCCTTTCCCATGAATCGAAACAGTTGCATCTGGCCACGTTTTGGGGAAGATGCACCACTGGTAGTGCTTTTTTCGTTTCGACAGTGGTGTGCCGAGGTCCATTGAAGGTGAGCTGGTGGTCTGGCGAGAGCATGAGATAGATGAGAGAAGAACATAATAATAATAAAATAATAATAATTAATAAATAAATAAACGTCGTTATAGCTTTTGCGCATAAATAAATAATAAAAGAATTAAAAAAAAAGCTTTTGCCCAACTTCCAGTCCAGATACAGCGTTAACGACCCTGTCCTCTATTCGCGGGAGAGTGGTATGTTGTTTTTTTTGTTTGTTTGTTTTGTTTTTTTTTAGTGCGGAGTTTTTCATCCGCTAATTACAAATTTCTAGACATTTATCTCTGGGGTATGTTTATGCAGAGGGAGGAGTTCGAACCCATCTTTCCCTCCCATCAGTACAGCTCAATGACCTGCGTCAGCGCCGAGAAGGGGACGCTATCCGTCAAGATCAATCAATCACAATCACATAGTGGGTTCGTTAGACCCACCCATTTGTCCATTGGATGAAGGAACAGCCCGTGCCACATACCTTTCCCTGCCTCAGCGTTGTGGGGCCGACCTTTTTCCTAGACCCAGGCCTGCCGATTTTCCTTTATCTAAACCCCCTGGAGATTTCAAATGGGAGCAAATAACGCCTGTACCCCAGTGACATTCGATCTGTGCATGGCAGTCCCCGCCGCCTGGATAGAGCATGATCTGAACTGCTACCCCTGCGTCTGACAGACTGACACACTGGGAGAGGATGTTGCAGTCCCGTAGCGGCTCAGCCATGGCCAGGGCCGCAGGGGCCTGGGGCAAGGTCCCACTTGCACTGATTAAGAGATTCTGGCCGTTGATCTTTGCAATCTACGGAAGGATTTTAGGAAAGCTGGGGGGGGTGGAGTCCCAGGACAGAACTGAGATCTCCTGTGGCAAGTTTCGGGGGTAAAAGTGCAAGAGGGCAAGTACGGGCCGTGCGCAGCGTTTCCGGTTTCACGAGCAAATAGACCGCCCCTCAGGCTTAGTGTGAAGAAATGAAAGTTGTAGATGCCGTGCAACATAAGGCAGATGGCATGCGGCGTGTATCCCAGGGATAAAAGTCCCGACGCCGTTAACAGATCTGGACACTCTTGCATTATCGAACAGAATCCCCTGCCTCAGGCCCGCGAGATGGAAATCACCATCTCCTTTGGTTTCACCTATGTGGTCAGTCGCGGACCTGATGGACAGGGTGCACGCTATGGGTATCACGCTGTTTGATCAGCTGCTGTCGTCGATGGCTGCAAACTTCGGAATCAGACGACGAAGGTCTCAGCTGGAGGTTGCGTGCCCTTCATTCAGACTCCATTCAGGTTCGGCGGATGAACCCCGAGGCTTGGTACTTGCTGTCTCGCTGGCACTCAGAACAAGGGGTTTGAGGCCAGTAGGGAGCGATAGCGTGCCACAGGATAACGGTGAGGTGGTGGAAGGGCAGCACTACTCGGTGCGATGGGCAATGGGTCACGGTTATTAGGACGACGACCCCAGGTTCGGAGAAGACGTGGCTCGTGTGGGACCCGGGGAATTGGGTTGTGTAAGGGACAGCGTCTAATGCCCTTCCAATATCCCAATCGCACACACGTTCGTCTCCTCGCTGGTAAGGGAATCTCGGGGAATCGGGGCGGGGTTGAGCAAGGAAGTACGCGTTTTTTCATTCCCAATATTTTCGATATTCGGGGTCCCGCAAACTTTCTCGGCCCGTGATGCGAAACATCCTGTCAATACGGCGTAAACGTCGTCATGGCCCATGCACGGATCCGGCAGACACGCGTGTAGGCACCGTCCCTTTTCGATCGGGCTTACACGTGCGAGCACAGGGTCTGATCACGGCTACGTGAGGGGCTGGCTTCGGATTAGCAGAAGTGGGCACAAGCGAGGATCGATCAGGAGATACGATCCAGTTAGCCTAATTCAAATTTCGTCACTTTCTAGTACCCATCATCATTGCCCTCCCCTTTCCTAAGGTGTATGTCTTACTACCTGTGCGCGACCCCTCAGTCCCTCCCAAACAATCAATCGTGAACAACCAGTCATGGGACCGTACAATCATGACTTCCGCGTACATATGTCTTCTCTACCATCACGTGCGAATCCGAAGGATCCGCAGGAACGACCCGCAATCCTAAGTTCCCACCCGCGCATTCGTTAAGACAACATAATTCCCATCAGACTCATTCATGTTTAGCGAGGGGGAGGGATCGACAAGCATGCGCATCTTAGATCGAAAGGATAAACATGCATTCACGCAAAGACCACTGATCTTGCAAGAAATTGAGAAATGGCAGTTACGCCGCAAACAGAGAGTGAGGAAGTACAAGCATTCATCGGACTGCTTAACTATGCAAGATCTGATAGAACTGAGAATAAATAACGACGCACACCAAAATGCAAGATAATTCACACGGAAAAATCCGAAGTTGCCGCAACAAAATTGGCCAAGGTGGAAATCCAAAATTTATACAGGAAGGTTGGAAGAAGAAGAAACAAAGGGAAAAGACACCATCCCGATCCGTCGCCGCGCACCAACACCAAGTCGTCACCACGCTTAGCCCAAGCAGGCTCGTCAGGTTCACCCATGCGTCACAGTCGGTCGTGGCCCGCACGTCAACCCCGCTTACTTGGCGCCAATCCGTCGGATCGCCCAACCCAATCTACTCACCTACCACCTTACTCGTTAGTCGATCCTCACTGACCACGCTAACCTTCCAAGTTCAGAGAGAAAACTAATCGTGCGTGTGAAATTTATAGCATGCATGCTTGCGCGAAAGGAACGGGATTGAGCCCAGGTAAACAAGAAAGGAAGAGAGGAAGTGCCTATGTCTGTATGGCTAGATCACGGCGTAGGGGTCGTAGTTGCACTCCACGCATCGATCCGATCATGCAAGCGTACGCCAATTACAACAGAGCATGCGAGGCGAGGAATAAGGAGGAGAAGGCGGGCAAACACAGGGGAATCAAGAAAGAAGAAAGATACAGTTACAATCGCGCCCGCCAAAA